CTGGCCATTGGGGAAGAGGCAGAGCGGTGAGTAAGTGTGCTTGGTGCACTGTGTAGGAAGATAGGACCCGAAACGGGAGTTACTATAGAGAGGGGCTGGCTGCTGACAGCTGTGTTTTGCAATGCTAGCTAACCATATGAGGTCAGTGGAGGGGGAGGGGAAGATGTGCAAAAGTGAGCTGCAGTCAGGTGTTGCAGCAGTAAATTGAGTCAGGTGAGTTGCAGACAGGGTGCATAGGTGAGCTGCGGTTCGGGGAGTGCAGAGGTGAGCTGAGTTGCAACCCACCTCTGCACCCCCTGGTCACAGCTCAGCTCTGCACCCCCCTGGCCACAGCTTGCCTCTGCACTCCCCAGCCACTGCTCACCACTGCATCTCACATCTGCAAAACGCCCCTTCACCCTGTCTGTGGCTCATATCTGCTCCCTGTTTAAAACTCACCTGTCAAGTCAAATCTGCAACACCTGACTGCAGCTCACAACTGTCATCAGCCGGCCCTCTCTATAGTAACCCTCATACACAACTGCCTGCAGCTCACCTCTGCACCCCCTGTCCACACCTGGACATTTAAAAAATAAAACCTACCCCAAAAATAAGACCTAGTGTTTTTTTGAGCCCAAAAAAATATAAGACAGTGTCTTATTTTTGGGGAAACACGGTAGTTAGTGTTTGTATTGATATTGCAATGCTAATGCTATAACATGAAAGTATGCAGTGGCCAAATATTTCTTTTAATATTAATTTTATGCATGGAACTTGCCTTATATGGGATACTAAAATATTATATAAACTTTAACATGTCAATATAATTTCATTAATAATTTTCAATCTATCTAAATGTGCAGCTTTCTTTAAAGAGAAACTTCAGTCCTAATTTACAAATTAAAAGAAAAAACATGTGACGGCCAATATATTGTTAATGACATTTAGGGAGTTAAAGTGGTTGTAAACCTCAGGCAATGAAATCTGAACAAAGCACATACAGTTAGGTCCATATATATTTGGACACAGGCACAATTATAGATTTTTTCAGGTGTTTACCAAAACATATTCAAGCTATAGTTATCAGGATATTTGAAAGTGCACGCTTCAGGTTTAATTTGAGGGTATGTACATCCAAACATCAGGAAGAGTTTAGGAATTACAGCTCTTAACAGTAGCCATCCCCCTTTTTTAAGGGACCAAAAGTAATTGGACAATTGAATCAAAAGCTGTTTCATGGCCAGGTGTGGGCTACTCCATTATTTCTTCATCAATTAAGCAGGTAAAAGGTCTGGAGTTGATTCTAAGTGTGGTATTTGCATTTGGAATCTATTGCTGTGAACCTACATCATGCGTTCAAAGGAGCTGTCAGCTGTCAATCCAAGTGAAACAGGTCATTGTAATGCAGGCCATAGATGGGTTGAAAACCGGACGTTTTTTTAACAAAAAACCAAAAAATCGGTCGTTCAATAGGCCGACGTTACCACCAACCGTAAACAAAAATTGGCCGATTTTGGTCCCGTCTACGGCCGGCATTTAATTACTTCTGTCCCTGTAGAGAGCTCTGCTATTATATTTGATATTAAAAAGTATAGCGGTTGCAACATTGTACAGTGAGGAACAGAAGTATTTGAACACCCTGCGATTTTGCAAGTTCTCCCACTTAGAAATCATGGAGGGGTCTGAAATGCACATTGTAGGTGCATTCCCACTCTGAGAGACAGAATTAAAAAAAAAAATTCAGGAATTCACATTGTATGATTTTTAAAGAATTTATTTGTCTTGCGCTGCTGAACATAAGTATTTGAACACCTAAGAAACAGCAAGAATTCTGGCTCTCAAAGACCTGTTACTGTGCCTTTAAAAAGTCCACCTCTACTCCACTCATTAATCTAACTTAGTAGCACCTGTCTGAGCTCTTTAAAGACACCTGTCCACCCCACAGTCAGTCAGATGCCAACTACTACCATGGGCAAGACCAAAGAGCTGTCAAAAGGCACCAGAGACAAAATTTTGGACCTCCACAAGGCTGGAAAGGGCTACGGGCAATTGCCAAGCAGCTTGGTGAAAATAGATCAACTGTTGGAGCAATTTTTAGAAAATAGAAGAGGCTAAAGACGACTGTCAGTCTCCCTCGGACTGGGGCTCCATGTAAGATCTCACCTCGTGGGGTATCACTGATGATAAGTAAGGTGAGGAATCAGCCCAGAACTACAAGGGAGGAGCTGGTCAATGACATGAAGAGAGCTGGGACCACAGTTTCAAAGGTCACTGTCGGTAGAACACTACGCCGTCATGGTTTCAAATCATGCATTGCATGGAAGGTTCCCCTGCTCAAGTCATCACATGTCCAGGCCCATATGAAGTTTGCCAATGACCATCTGGATGATCCAGAGGAGGCATGGGAGAAAGTCATGTGGTCAGATGAGACCAAAGTAGAACTTTTTGGTCTAAACTTCATTTGTCGTGTTTGGAGGAAAAAGAAGGATGAGTTGCATCCCAAGAATACCATCCCTACTGTGAAGCATGGGGGTGGTAACATCATGCTTTGGGGGTGCTTTTCTGCGAAGGGGACAGGACGACTGCACTGTATTAAGGAGAGGATGAATGGGGCCATTTATTGTGAGATTTTGAGCAACAACTTCCTTCCCTCAGTCAGAGCATTGAAGATGGGTCGTGGCTGGGTCTTCCAACATGACAACGACCCGAAGCACACAGCCAGGATAATCAAGGAGTGGCTCCGCAAGAAGCATATCAAGGTTCTGGAGTGGCCTAGCCAGTCTCCAGACCTAAATCCAATAGAACATCTTTGGAAGGAGCTGAAACTTCCGTGTTGCTCAGCGACAGCCCCGAAACCTGACAGATCTAGAGGAGATCTGTGTGGAGGACTGGGCCAAAATCCCTGTTGCAGTGTGTGCAAACCTGGTCAAGAACTACAGGAAATGTTTGACCTCTGTAATTGCAAACAAAGGCTTCTGTACCAAATATTAACACTGATTTTCTCAGGTGTTCAAACACTTATGTTCAGCAGTGCAAGACAAATAAATTCTTTAAAAATCATACAATGTGATTTCCTGAATTTTTTTTTAAATTCTCTCTCTCAGAGTGGGAATGCACCTACAATGTGAATTTCAGACCATTCCATGATTTCTAAGTGGGAGAACTTGCAAAATCGCAGGGTGCTCAAATACTTCTGTTCCTCACTGTATCTATTTGTATCCATTTCGGATACAGATGTTTTTATTCAGGTACAAATAGATACATTGTTGCAACTGCAATACTTTTTCATGTCAAATATAATAGCGGACTGGAATTCTTCCTCTTCTTCTTCTTCTTTTTCTGCTACTTCTTTTTTCTTCTTCTTTTTCTTCTTCTTCTTTTTCTTGCAAAATAGGCCAATTTTTTTCCAACTTTACCAATCAAAAAAAATGTGCCAAAATCCAGAAAAATGGCCGACCATTAACGGTGCGAAAATTAGCCGATTTTTTTTGTCGGCCGAAAAATCAGCTGATTTTCGACCCATCTATGGCCCGCCTAACACTTCAAAACAAAACTGGATGTTCTTACAGTTGCTGTTTTTGGCTTTTGATGTTTTTTTCTATAGCCAGTAAACTCCCCAGCATGTTATCCTATGTGTCCAGGCACACATAGACTGTAATCAACATTTTTTGGCAGGGGCGTTTTTTGGCTGGAAAAAAACCCCCAGAACTAGTGGATTTCTAGAGGAGTTTTTTAGCTGTACAAACGCTCTAATGCTGAAAAACGCAGCAAAATGTGGTAAACCGCAGCAAACTGCGGTAAATCGCAGAAAACCAGTGTTTTTGGACTTTTTCTGACAAAAAAGACCCTTCTAAAAAGCACAAATGTGAAAAAATTTAATAAAAGCGTCAAAACACTGCTAAACGCTAATACAAAAATGCTAAAAACCGCTGAAAAACTCATGTTTTTAATGTGACTTTACACAGCTAACGTTTCCAGCATTATAAAAACGTCCCGTGTGCATGGAGCCTAAGTGTTGTTTCTCTCTGCTGTCTAGTTTCTCTGTTATTAGCATGAATCACGTCTTACCGGTTTTCCTGACACCAAGAGGTAAAAAGGTTACAAGAGAGGAATCTCTAGCACATGTCCCTTTCCTCCAATCAGCTCTCCGAGCTCTTGTGTAACTGCAGCTCCCCACCCCCTGCTTTGTGAGTCTGAAAAATCATTTTCATCTCTGTGTTTTCTAGGATGTACAGGACAAAAGGCTGCAAATAAACACGTACAACTTATGAAGGAGGCCAGCCACTTCACTGGGTATAGGCAAGGGTTTACAACCACTTTAACTTTTCACAATATGCTATCTTTAACCAGTGATTTACTTTTAATGCACTCACCTGTCCTGACAGCGACCATTTGTACTAAGGTCAACTGAAGCCAGTGCCTGTTCTCTTCCCTGGGGAGAGCCTTTTTTTCTGACTCTTGTGCCTGAAGCCTCTTGGAATTTGTGACAATGCAGAATAAAGTCTAAGGCTAGGTTCACACCTATGCAGTTTGCGTTTGATCCGTTTCAGCAGTGCTTTTTGTAGTGCGTTATACGTTTTTGCACATGCGTTTTTGACGCATTTTTTATGCCTTTTGTGTTTTTTTGCACTACATGCATTTCTATAGTGTCTCTATTGAAGTCTATTGAACCAAAAACACAATGTTTTGCATTTAAAAAAGTCCCTGAACCTGTCCAAAAAACGCACTGGGTAAAAATTCAGAGATGTGAACCTGTCCCATAGGAAATCATGTTAAATGGACTGTGCATTTCTGCAAAATGCAAAATACAAAACACAAGAGAAAACACATAGGTGTGAACCTAGACTAAGTCACTTGCCTAGGTGAAGAAAGAAGGAAGTGGAGCAGGAAAATTAATAAAACAGGTATTTAGAGACCGAAAAAAAGCTTTATTATATCCAATTATGTTATAAGAGATGGAGAGAATTACTACCGAAGGAACTTTAAAAACAGACTGAAGGTCTGATTTGACCACTTCCCACTGGCTGCATGCAGATATGTGGCCTCTTGGTGGGTGGGCTTTAACGGTGATCTGCCACATATGTCCATCCAGGGGCAGACTGACAACTCATGGGGCCCCTGGGCAATAGGGGATCATGGGGCCTCTGTGTCCTTGCCCAAACTCAAAAAAGCCTATGAAAAAGGTACCAGGGGCATCTGATGGGGCCCCCTACTGACCCTGGGCCCTTGGGCAGTGCCCAAGTTTCCAAATGGTCAGTCCACCCCTGTATGCATCCTTATGTAAACACATTATTGTGCTGAGATCATGCACTCCCAGCACAGTAACCGATGGGTGCAAGAAAGATCCCAATGCAAACTTGCAACTGAGAGCTTTCCAATCATGTGACCGCTATGACTGCCAATCACAGCGGTCACATGATTGGAATGCCCGCCTCCACCTTCCAGCATTTAGAACCTCTGAAAGGGCTTGGAGGTGGCGGTGGAGGGAAGGGGAAAAAAGAATACCTGGTGATCCTGCCATTATGGTCCTTAATAAGGTACTTCCAGTTACAGGAATGACAACACTGTCCTGGTCTCCCAATCATCCTTTTGTCTTTTCACCTTGTCACATTTGCTTCTGGTGCACACCACAAAGTTTGTGCCGATGCCTAATAAGCAGTCATTTTACACCAATCAGGAAGTCTGCCCTGAAAAAATGGATAAGAGAAGTGAAAACAATATTTCTACCAAAAAATACACGTTTCATATAATGCAAGGGTTACATTTTGAAAGAAGGCTCGTTCTGCGTCTATTTAAGTTTGTCTCGCTTCTGATGTATCTCTGCAAACAAGTTAAAGTTTGATATGAAACACTTCATAAATATCAATTACAGAATTATTAGTACAAGCTCATATAATTACCTGCTGCATAATTAAATCATTACCTACTCCTGCCCTCCGCATACATTCATACACTTCTATTCCTGGCTCCTGTTCTCTTATTGCAAAGAAGGCACTGATTGCAGCTGATTGTACAGAGGAAGGGAAATGCTATGCATGTATTATGCTTCCTGCGATTAGGTGGTTTTTGCATAGAAAGTAAAGCCAGGTGGGATTATTCCAATGAGTATTGGGGAATAGTTGGATGAGTTTTACTTTTCTATATTTGTATTGATTTGTACAACTTTTAAAACTGAAAATGGGAAATGTGTACCTTCACTACTGCATTCTGCATGCAAAACAAGTACCCAGATCTTTATATGGATCACAGGAGGGCAATAGGAAGAACTTGTATGACATTTCTAATATGCGCGGAGTACCCAACAGCACTTGGTGCACTAATGAGAAGAAACACTGCTCTTTAATCTGGACATGACACAGGAGAGAAGCAGATTGCTTTTATTTAACACCTCCAAGACTGCTGGATACTTAGTAGAAACTTAGTAGAAATAAAGCACAGTTTTTATGTTCGCTTATAAAAACCTCAGTTTTCATGCCTAACCAAGAACTTGCCGGGGGAGAAGATAACATATTACTGTACAACTTTACAACTGGTAAACCACAAGGTCAAGACATCTGACCACATAATATTCAACCCCAACAAGAACTGACTTTAGTCACACATATCTACAAAATATATACAACACTACAGAAAAAAATATCAGCATTAATATTAGATTTGTACATAAATGTATATCCAGGTTTAATAGCTGGGGATTAATAAAATGCTGTAAATATTTGAATCAACAGAAGTTGCAAGAAGAAAACAATTTCTACTTACATATCCCTAAGTTCCCTGTGGTTTTAACATTTTTCAGCATTGCCACTCTGCCTTAAGTAATTCTACTTCTACCAATAAACAAAAACCAGGCTCTAATGAGCCAACTGCAAAACCTTTCTAGCTACAGAGATTCCATAATATTGCACTTTCCTTAGGTTCTCTAGCATTCAGGATGTTTTTTGTGTTGGTGTGCAGTTTATATCATACTTAAAGCGTTACTAAAGACTATATTTTAAATTAAAATAACAAACATGTTATACGTACCTACTCTGTGCAATGGTTTTGCAGACAGCAGCCCCAAACCTCCTCTTTCTGGGTCCCCTACCAGCGCTCCTGGCTCCTCCTCTTCAGTGTCTGGCCCACATAGCAAGCGCTTGCTATGGGGAAGATGTGTGGGCTTGGCTTTCTCCCCTGCTCCCTCCTAGCTGGATTTGATTCACAGCAGCAGTAGCTAATGGCTCCTGCTGCTGCTTCCATATCCAATGAGGAGAAAGAGAGAGAGGGCAGTGATGCCGTTCTTGGTCACACCACTGGATCGAGTTCAGGTAAGTATTTGGATAGGGCTGGGGGGGAACTAATCTTGGAAGGTTTTTTATCCTTAAAGTAGTTGTAAAGGCTCAAGGCTTTTTACCTTCCTGCATTCTATACAGGAAGGTAAAACACCTTCTGTGTGCAGCCCCCTTAATAACTACTTGAGCCTCAATGTGATCCAGCAATGTGCATGAGAGCTTCGGCCCTCCTGGGACTCTCCCTCCTCATTGTCTAACCTCTGGGGATATCTCCCCAAACCCTGGTCACTCACCACCTCACTCACCCACTAGACACCCTCCTACTCCCACGAACCGCCGCAACCCCCTCAACCTTATACCTGTCCCCCTCCTCCCCCGCATCCACCCCTCCACTCTCGGTTGCACTCCCGAACGCCCGATCGGTTTGCAACAAGCTCACCACCATCCATGACCTCTTTATCTCCCACTCCCTCAACCTCCTAGTGGTCACCGAAACCTGGATCCAAGCCACTGACTCCACCCCTTCTGTGGCACTCTCCCATGGAGGTCTCATCTGGTCCCATTCACCCAGACCGAGCGGTCGTAGAGGCGGTGGGGTCGGCGTGCTCTTGTCACCGCTGACCACCTTCCTGGTCCTCCCAAACCCCCCCTCTCTATCCTTCTCCTCCTTCAAGACCCACTGCATCTGACTCTTCTCCCCCACCCTTCTGAGGATTGCAGTAATCTATCGTGCCCCTGGACCCCTATACCGCTTCCTTGACGACTTTTCCGCCTGGCTACCCTTCTTCCTCTCCTCTGAGCTAACCTCCATCATCCTTGGAGACTTCAATATCCCTGTCAATGTCAACAACCCGGCTACATCCCAACTCCTCCACTTAACCTCTTCTTTTGCACTCACACAGTGTACACAGTCTCCACCCACACTGACGGGAACACCCTGGATTTCGTTTTCTCCCATCTCTGCACCCTCCACAACCTCACAAACACCCCTTTCCCTCTCTCTGACCACAACCTCATTACGTTCTCTGTCTCCCCGTCCTCAAACACCTCTCCTCCCCAAATGTCAAACCATCACCAGCCGTAACCTCCGCAACCTGAACCCGGCCACTCTCCACTCTGCAGCTGACCATCTGTACGACAGTATCCTTCCACTGTCATGCCCTGACCTGGCCACTACTACGTATAACGACTCACTGTCAGCTGCCTTAGACTCCTTAGCACCCCTAACCCACACGTAGCATTAGACCCCAACTGCTTGAACCCTGGCAGAATGACCACACTGAAAATCTTAAACGACGCAGTCACACGCTGGAACGATTATGGCGCAAAACCAAATCCCTTTGAGCGTTCTCCCTCTACAAATCCGCCTTCCTCACCTACTCCTCCTCCCTCCATGCCGCCAAACAAGCCTACTTCGTAACCCTCATCAACACCCTCTCCACCTGTCCTCGCCGGCTCTTCTCCACTTTCAACTCCCTACTATCTCCCGCCCCCCCCCCCCCACCCCCACCCAGTACCTCACTCACCGCCCAAGAGATTGCCAATCACTTTCAAAACAAGATTGACGCAATCCGTAAGTACATCGCCAATGCTCAACCTACCTCCCCACCTAGCCTCCCTCCCACTATAACCCCATCAACTCTCCCCTCCTCTGACCTCGCCACCGCCCTACCGCCCACCACACCTAACATCCCGCACACTATAACCTCCCCAACACTCCGCTCCTTCAGCCTTGCTACCACTGAGGAGGTCACTAAGGTCTTCTCAGAAGCCCGCCTCACCACTTGCCCCCTATACCCTGTCCCCACACAACTCCTCTGGTCACCCTCCTCCTCCATCCTACGCTCCCTCACCCACATCTTCAATTTCTCATCTCTACTGGCGCATTCCCCTCCCCCTAAAGCACACGCACATCACGCCCATACTCAAAAAACCCTCCCTGGACCCCACCGACCTGAACAACCTTAGACCCATCTCCCTGCTGCCATTTACTTCCAAGCTCCTTGAGCGCTTAGTCTACAATCGCCTAAGCGCCTACCTCACTGACAACAACCTTCTCGATCCACTACAGTCTGGCTTCCATCCCCTACACTCCACCGAAACCGCCTTACTCAAAATCACTAATGACCTGCTAACCGCCAAAGCTAATGGCCACTACTCAGTCCTCTTACTCCTCGACCTTTCTGCGGCCTCGACACAGTTGACCACCCCTTCCTCCTTAATAAACTACACTCCCTCGGCATCAGAGACTCCGCTCTGTCCTCGCTCTCCTCCTATCTATCCCAACGCTCCTTCAGCGTTACCTATAACGCTGCCACCTCCCCCTCTCTCCCCCTCTCTGTTGGGGTCCCCCGAGGCTCTGTCCTTGGGCCCCTTCTCTTCTCCATCTACACCTCCTCCCTCGGCAAACTGATACACTCCCACGGCTTAAACTATCACCTCTACGCCGATGACATGCAAATTACCTCTCCACCCCTCGCCTCATTCCTTCAGTCTCTGCCCATATCACCCACCTACTGAACGACATATCAGACTGGATGTTGCTCCATTTCCTCAAATTGAACCTTTCCAAAACTGAGCTCCTGATTTTCCCCCGAGCTCGCGCCCCCCCTCCATCATGACCAACAACGCCACAATCAGTCCCACCCCGCAAGCCAAAGTCCTAGGTGTCACTCTAGACTCAAACCTGTCCTTCCAATCCCATGTCCAATCGTTGGCAAACTCATGCAGGCTCCACCTCCGCAACATCTCCAAAATACGTACGTTCCTAACCCCAGACACTACTAAATAACTCATTCACACCCTTATTATCTCACGTCTGGACTACTGCAACTCCCTTCTCACGGCCTGCCTCATCACAGACTATCCCCGCTTCAGTCTATCCTGAACTCAGCGGCCAGACTCATTCACCTTACAAACCGCTCCGCTTCTGCCACCCCCCTCTGTCATTTCCTTCACTGGCTCCCGATTGCCCAATGCATTAAATTCAAACTACTAACACAGAC